GATTCAATCGTCGGTATCCCAATACCTCGTTCAATCTCGTTACCGGCAAGTCACTTTACTCGTACCGTAATGCATGATCCCGTGACCAGACACTTGGTCACTTTGAGCTCATTATGATGATGCATTACCGAGTGGGCCCAGAGATACCTCTCCGTCATACGGAGTGACAAATCCCAGTCTTGATCCATGTCAACCCAACAGACACTTTCGGAGATACCTGTAGTATACCTTTATAGTCACCCAGTTACGTTGTGACGTTTGGTACACCCAAAGCACTCCTACGGTATTCGGGAGTTACACGATCTCACGGTCTAAGGAAAAGATACTTGACATTGGAAAAACTCTAGCAAACGAACTATACGATCTTGTGCTATGTTTAGGGTTGGGTCTTGTCCATCACATCATTCTCCTAATGACGTGATCTCGTTATCAATGACATCCAATGTCCATAGTCAGGAAACCATGACTATCTGTTGATCAACGAGCTAGTCAACTAGAGGCTTACTAGGGACATGTTGGTGTCTATGTATTCACACATGTATTACGATTTCTGGATAACACAATTATAGCATGAATAAAAGACAATTATTGTGAACAAGGAAATTTAATAATAATCCTTTTATTATTGCCTTTAGGGCATATTTCCAACATCTAGGACATGATGGGTAACAAAGAGCAGAGCTGGTGGAACAGATGAGGCAGCCAGGGGATCCAAAGCATGAGTTGCACAGACGGAGCAAGGACTTGAGCGGTCGACGCCGAAGGTCGATCAGTTGACACAGGATCGACAAAAGAAACAAAAGCCTGAATTGGATCTCCAGATTGCTAGACGACTGGTTCTGGCGCTAAAGTCGACTGAGACACCTTGCTGGCTGGCACCCTCCTGCTTGATCTTGCCCTTTCTTCCTGTGTTCTTCTGTGGCACGTCTTCATGGTCATCGTCGTCTGGAAGTTCAATAACATTCGGTGGTGCTACAAAACATTTGACCGTAAGAGTTCAGTCGACCGACAGAACGATTGGCAGAGTGAGGGCAAGGCTGTGGAGTTGTACCTGCTCGAGAAGTGGCCGCATCTGTAGTCTCCTCATCATCTTGCTCCTTGGCAATATTCATGGACGTCCTAGAAGTAGCCGCACTGAAAGTTCCAAAAATTCACTCGGTCAAAGCAAGCAGATGAATCGGCCAGAACATAGAAGACAAAGAGGGGAAGCAAAACACTTACGTAGAAGCAACAGGAACATCCACCTTGATCTTGGGCAAGGCATTCCAAGGCTTTGACGGGGCGACCTTGGGCTGCTTAGCCGCCTTCTCAGACGGTTCCGGAGACGAAGTCCGAGTGCGCTTTTGCACTTGTATGCTTGGAGGAGCTGCCATGCCGAGCCCACCTGCAGGGTCTTGGGACTGTTTGGATCGACATTCGGGGCGGTGAGTCGACCTCCTCGCTGCCGCCCGAGTTGTCTCTATCATCTTCATTGTCATCTGGATTGCTAGTCGCCACTTTCGTCTGTGCTCTCCTCTCCATCCTGGAACTGTTCCCCGTTCGTCATCGAGTACATCTTGGTGTAGATCTGCAAGGCACAAGTCAACAAAAGTCAGGCGAACCCAAGAGCAATTGCAAGTCAAAGAGAGAAAGCACTCGGTGTATTGAGCCTGACATCTTCCAGCTCGTGCTCAGTGTCGAATGGCAGAACCCTCCTGGACCCTCTGGGGTTGTCCTTGTTCCCGGTTATGCTTCGCAGCCACTGAGCCACCGTCTCCTCAGTGACCTCTCTGGGTGGACCCGAGCGGTGTCATCAGCACTCGAGTACATCCACTTTGGGTGGTCACGGGCTTGGAGAGGCGGAATACGTCGACTGAGGAACACTTCCAGCAAGTCCATGCCAGTCACCCCCTCCCGGACTAATCTGACAACTTGATCGACTAAATGTGAGACCTCGCCTTTCTGCTCCGGAGTCACGGTCAATGAAGAAGGTTGGCGGGGTCGATCCATGGTGAAAGGAGGAAGACCAGTCGACTAACCCGGGGTCGGGACGTCCTTGCAATAGAACCAGGTCGACTGCCATCCACGGACTGACTCGGGAAGATTTATGGAAGGGAAGGTGCTTCTGCCCCTAGTCTGAATCCCCAAACCCCCACACATTTGGATCACATGTGTCTTCTCATCAGTCGGATTCGCTTTCTTCACCGTTTGAGAGCGGCAAGTGAAAATATGCTTGAAGAGACCCCAGTGCGGTTGGCAGCCCAAGAAGTTTTCGCACAAAGAAATGTACGCGGCAAGATAGGTGAAGGTGTTTGGGGGGAAATGGCGGATTTGCGCACCGAAAAAGTTCAAGAAACCCCGGAAAAAGGATGCGGAGGCAGAGAAAAACCACGGCTGACATGGGTTGCGAGGAGGACGCACTCACCCTCTTGCGGCTGAGGTTCGGACTCGTTCCCCGGCAACCTCCAAGACCCGTCAGCAATCAAGCCCGCACTGGCCAGATCCTCCAAGTCTTCTTTTTGGATCGTGGACCGAATCCATTTCCCCGTGATCCAACCAGGCGGCAATCCGGACCTCGATGACGACCCTCGAGTCATCCTCTTGCCCTTCGCCATCGCCGTCGCCTTCTTCGCGTGCTCCAGGGCCACTGTCTTGTCCTTTCCCATTGTGGTGGCTGCGCACGGGCGGAGCAGCGACGTCAAGAATGGAGGAGGACGCGGTGGAGAAGCAGAGGAAGAAGAGAGAGAACGAGGCACACTGTGCAAACGCATCGGCCTCGACGCCTTTTATGGGCCTACTTCCGAGTGGCTGGCTTGTGGGCCCAAGCAATCTTGTCATATCCCGCAATAGTCGCTCGCCCGATACGTGGCCAAAAAGGTGGCGTGAGGATCGAGGAGCCCCTATCTATCCACTCCAATAACCGCGGCACACTCCGTCCCGCGCGCTTCTCCAAATTTTTGAATCCCATGAGATTCGGGCCGCAGAGCAACCAATCGCGCCAGGATTTCACACCATAACACACTCGAAGATTGTCAGTATAGTTCACTTGACGACCTTTGAATCGATCAAGGCGATTGAAATAAGGTTGAAGCCTCAACATGATTTCCCAACTCTAGTGAAATGCTTCCAAGGGCATAAAATCGAGTCGGAACCAACTTCAACCCTTCTTCACTTAGACCTCAATCCATTCGGGGGCTAATGACGATGATATGTACCTAGGGTAGGGTCATAGGCCTGTTCTAGACACCCTACCCAAGGACACTGCCCTAAAGTCAAGTACATTCAAGAATCAACAAAAGATACCGACTGAAGTCACATTGGAGTGCAATCCACTCGACCAAATATACCACTCGGATACCCCAATTCCTCTCGACAAGTATACAGTCATTCGACCGCGCGAAGAATCACTCGGACAATAGAAGGTCTAAAGCCACCCAGGATGGCAACGGTCAGGCATTCACTCAGTAGTGTTAAAGATCATTTATAGCTCTTTATACCTAGCGTTACCAGTAACGCCCTGTCTTAACGTACATTGAACCCTGTGTAACTGAGGGCTGGAGGGGTCCGACACACTCTATATAAGCCACCCCCCTCTTTAGGCACAAGGGTTCACACCCCTTGTAACTTTCACGCATATCCAGTTGACCAAGACTCCGGGCACCGAGATGTAGGGCTATTACTTCCTCCGAGAAGGGCCTGAACTCGTAAACCTTGCGTGCACAACCTCACCGTAGTTAGGATCTTGCCTCCTCCTACGTACCCCCTATTCTTATTGTCAGACTTACTCCCACGACAGGAGGGG